ATGTTTCTCGTATTGATTTCTTGTTTCCCTATTCCCATCAGCAGAGGGTTAATTTATACTTTTATTACTCCTTGCTTGGATCGTTACAATACCCTCTGTGTCCTCCCTGTATTACCCCAGAACACCCCCTACTCCATCCAATACTGCCAGAGCTGTGTTTACAACATAAAAATCAGACCAGGTCAATTCCATGACAAAACCCCCTGGCATTTTTATGTACTTTGTGGAATCTCCATGTCCTTCTGGGAATTAAGTTCAAATTCCTTAGCAGGACATTTGTGCTCCTGCTCCAGGAGAAATGATAATACAAGGGGAGACCCCCCCAAAATGGAATTTATTCATAAAAAACTGTGTATTTATTCTTATACATTTAAACTTCAGTCACCTTCAAAGTACTCTCCATTTGACAAAATACACCTATGGAGACTTTTTTCCACTGCTCAAACCAGCTTTTGAACTTGTCAATTTTGACACCTTTCAGTCCTTCTGCTATTTTTTGTTTCACCTCTTCCACTTTGGCAAAACATTCCCCTTTGAGGACTTTTTTAATCTGGGGAAACAAAAGAAAAGTCACTCGGTGTGAGACCAGGTGAATAGGGAGGGTGAGGCATGAAGGTCATGCGCCCGTAAATCATCCGTCATGAAATGGGCAAATGCATTGAAAGAATCTTTTTAAAAAATTCACTGAAGCCAAACATAGCCTCTCACAATGACACCAGCTGGTACAGTGGTACAGATGGGTTCCTAGAACACTCACCTAGTGGGAGAAGCCTGTACTACAAGGGCCAGCTCTCCACAAGATAATTCCATTTTGGGGGGGTGTCCCCCTTGTAAATTGCCTTGTGTATCAGACTCAGAAGATAGAGTTTGATTCTGTAAGAAATGAGGAGCATATGCTAGCCTCTGCTATTGAAACAATCTCTAGAAAGGGAACTGTCATACCCTATTTACAGTATATTTCAATGTCAAAAAGTGACTAGTTTGGATGTTCTTTTCCATGTTGAATCACAGTTTCCCAGTGAAAATTAATCTACTTAATAGCCTGAATTCTATAACCTGACTTTCACAAAATCTTCAAATTCACAAAATAATTTCCGGAGCTCCTCTCATGCATTCATTTTTTTTGGACACGACCTTTGACTTGTGTCAGAAGATGGTCCCAGCCACATTTCTGAAGCATGTTGATGACAGTCAATGGGAACGGAATCCAAAGTGGTTTTGGTGTACTGAAGTCAAGGTGTCACCCTCTTTTACAAACAGGGTTTGTTCTTCACAAAGACTTAATGCTTATTATCCGGTGCCCTGTGATCTCTGAGGTAATTGAAAATTAATTTCTTCCAGTGCCTTTCCTTGGTGCCAGCTCCTGAAATCCTTGACCATCAGTGGAAGGAGAGAATTGCAAACAAACAAACAAACAAACAAACAAATAAGTATAACAGGAGACTTCTTTGTTTCAAGTCCCTGACTCCTGCTAGCTGCAAACCTCTTCTGTGTGCGTTTGCTGTGTCAGCCCAAAGTGAAGCAGACAAGAGCAGGAATTGAGGAAGGCCATTAGGAGCTGAACCAGCAGGAACCCAATAAGGAGAGGGACTGGCCCTGCTGTGAGCATGAGCGTGGGGGTGGTCTGTGGCCAGGGTGGAGCAGAGCTGGTTTTTGCTTTGCTCCTCGGTAACAGCACGGTCATTTCAGAAACAAAGGGCTCCATGTGGATTGCTTAACTTGAGCTCATCAGTTCAGTGTCGAAGACTGGGGGCCCCTTTTAGTTGAAACCAATGTCTGGATAAAGAGGGTATCATCGCCATGGGGGTTTTTCTATACTTGAATAAGACCTTGAAGGATCTGCCCTCTACACAGCATCATATGCAACATTAGTTTGTTTTTGAGCTTTTATGCTGACAATGAAGAAGGTCTGAAATGTATTATTAGACTTTTCCTTTCCTGTGCGAATCCTGGAAGCATCCTTTTGATACCCATCTAATAAAGACGATCTCTAAAACCAAATAATAGATTGAAACGTGTTATGAGTTCTTTCATTCAAGACAGGGCTTACTTTTAATTCTCTAGGTGAGACAGTTGTATTTGTCTTTCTGAAAGCAGTTTGCTCAAGTGTTTCAAGTAACTCAAAGGATCAGTTGATTAATTCCTTATGAAATTGGATTAGACATTCTCATTTCAAATGGCAGCTTTATGCTTACTCATTGTCTTGAATAACCTTAAATATTGTTGTTATCTTGCTGCCCCATTCTTTACGTAATCACTAGCCCTTGGTAGTCTGCTTCAGGTCATAGAAAATCACTTACAGATATTTTCAACATGCACACAGAGGCCCTTTATGTCATAATCCAATCTGATGGTTTTTTTCTCCTGCATTACCTCATGTGGGAATTCTTGTTTAAACTTTATTGATCTGTCTGGTTTATTGTGCGGGGCTGTGTGATGCCATGTCACGTGGGTAGGATGGAGAGGTGCAGTGAACAGACTGACACATTTTGAGTCTTCTCTTGCCAGTGGACACAATTAATTTCATCTCTTTGGAGCTGTCAGTTTAAAGGCATTGTTTGTTTAGAATACATTTGCTCAGGAACATTGTTTACATGATGTAAATTCTCAAAAGCTAACCACTTCCTCTGTTTGTAGTTGGCAACTTCTGCTTTCTGCCTGGTTATTCACACAAAAGCAGTAACAATAACAGTTTCCATTTACTAAGTCTTCTCAAGTGCCAGATTCTGTATAAATGCTTTATATACATTATCTCATTAATCCTTCAATATTCCAGGGAAGTATGCACTATTATTATTCATAATCTTCAGGTGAGAAAAGAGACATCAAGAGAAGTTGAGTAACAGAACCAGTGTGAGTTAAACAACAGGATTCCCACTCACGGTCTTAACTCTCAAACTTGTATTCTTAATCATTTTATTGTATAGGCTCTGAAGGTAACCTGTTCCACCTTGCAGTTGTTAAAATGTTTTGGTTTTTTTTTCTGAAATGCCTTTGAAATCTGTCTTCCTGTAGCTTTCCTTCATTGGTCTCATTTTGAGAATTTTGGCTAGGCAAAGTGGCCTTCCGCTCCCCTGTGGTTTATTTTTTAGAAGTACAACATTTCTAATTCTTTCTGGAAGTACGTACTGGGCACGTGACCCCATGGGCTTATCTAGTCCCGGGACAGTGCTACTCACTCCTCAGAACCACAGATAACTCTATAGAGACTGTTTTTCTATCTTTCTCCTTCATCCTGGTGTTTCAGTAACATTGTCTTGGGCTATTTCTGTCCCCTAATTCTTTTTCTGGTCACGTCTCTATCAGATCTGAAGCAGGCTGCACCCACTGCATCCTTTCTAAAACAAGGGCACCTTTAGGTTGCAGCCAATCCCAAGTTATCAGCAGATTCTGAGGTCATCTTCTGGAGCCAAGACAACTCTGTGGATGGCCAAGGGATCCAGTTTATTGGGGAAATCAGGTTCCCTCATTGCTGAGTGGGGCCAAGATCTTACAACTACCCATGTCTACCTGGACTTCCCAACTAGGATGAATTTAACATCAAGTCAGAATTTCAGTCCTTGGCCCTGAGGACTACCTGATTGTAACTCGTGATACAAAAAATAATAAATAAAAGAAACCACCTTTAGCATTCTATGAGAGACCTTTATACATTTCCAGTGTCCTTTTGATTCTGTAGGTTTCTAAGGCTGGTAAATTTTATTTTAGCAGATGCCTCAGGGTCATTTAAGATTTCTTAATCCTGTCGCTGAGTAGCCATTCAGGTCTTGGATATACAACTCAGCCTCAGCTGCCGAAGTCACTGCCACTGAATGGTGGCCCCTGTTACCTTCCGGGCTCAGTGACCCCTAGGATTATTAGGTTGTCAGTTAAGAAGAAACAGTTTCTGGTAGAGGCTATTGGTTCACAGGACTTTCTGTACATAGTCTCTCATGCTCAAATTTTCCTAAAGAGAAATGTCCACTTTAACCTCTGTTTCCTTTTCTCCCCTGGTGACTTCTCAGGGTATTTAGAAAGCAATTGGAAGGTCCCAGATCTCAAGTTCCCTCTTTCTCCTCCTCTGGGCTATACATACCCTTGTCCATTTAACCGAGGAAGCAAAAAGAAAGGAAAAGCAGAATTTCCTCTCAGCCAGAATAAGTAAAAGAAGGAAGATTCCAGATACATTGAAAATGCTCCGCAGAGCAGTGATAACCCCACCTGGGAGAGTAAAACTTTGAGCCACCTCACCTCTCCAAGGTTATGAGCCTTTCTGCCAACTAGCCAGAGTCCCCAGGCCCTCGAGGGAGGGAAGGCGGAGGATAATTCTCACTTTTTCAGCACCATTTTTATATTATATTCCACATGTGTCTTGTGATGGAGAGAGCTGGAGGGATGCAAGGAGAGCTAGCTGAGGACTGGACCCGAGGAAGGGCTCTACTCCTTACCCCCCCTCCAAGCAGAGACTGGTGGGGGGTGACCAAGAGAAGAGAGGTTTGAGAGTACACGAGCAGAGGGGACTTAGCTCTCTTTTATCAGTTAGAGCCAGGGAAGAGCTTGATTCCAGGATTCCTCCATGGTGCACAGGGCTGCCAAGAATTGGTTCAGGCATTAGTGGAACTTCTTTGGGGTTTCCCACAGCAAAGGTGGGTTTGGGTTGACCTGCAGAGTCGTTGGAGCCCGTACTTCCTTGTGGACCAGTAGTACTGTAATTCGTGTTGGCTTCTTCCACCCCCGTCATCCTGATTGGTACTGGAGAGCTGAAGAGGGAGGGGAGGGACCTAACCAGGGCTGTGATGACAGGAGCTAAGGGAAATGTTGTGAGCACACATGAGATACCTTGTGTGGGCCCCCAGACATACTTGACCGTAACTCTGAGGATGTGGGCTGTGGGCATGCTTGCAGGTCCTCCCTGAGTCCACAGGGCAGGAACCAGTGGAATTTGTTTTGTTATACCTTCTATGATCCCGCCTGTTGGTGACGCTGGGAGAAACTCAACCACCTCGGACTGAAATTCCCAAACCCACTACTAGTCTGCAGCTGTTCTTACGGTGGCAGTGGTGACATTCCTCTGTGGGAAAGAAACTGTCGCATGGTTAAACACCCTTTTCTTAGCAAAACAGAAAGTGGGCATATGTGTGACAAACAAGAAAAAAAAACCCAAAAATTACCAAACCCCATGTATTTAGTCTGAAATGGCAGGGGTATAAGGCCTTTTATGGTTCTTTGTCATACAGGCAAAATAACATTTTGTACTTCATGCCAATGCCCTGTATTTCATAGTATTTAAACTTTCTATGTCGTCTCATTTATTCTGCATTGATCAATTAGGTAAACCATCCCATTTTATTGGAGAGAAACTGATGCCCAGAAAAAACAGAGTTGCTTAAATTAATAATTATATAAAATCAAAACAACTAATTAAGTCCCAGATACTATGCTAAGTTATATGCACTCTTTTATTTAATTCTTAAGATTACTTTATGAAATGAGTATTATTATTATTTTCATATTTTTGATACCTAAATTAAGGCTCAAAAAAGGGAATTAACTTAGTCAGGGTCATATAAAGTCAAATAGCTGATTTCTTACTTCTTTAAACTGATTTCTTACAGTCTTTAAATCCGTATCTCCCTGACTTCAAAAGTCCACACTTCCAGCCCCTTACTACTGTGGAAGAGGCAGAAGGAAAAGTCAAATTTTTGTGATTAGCTGTAAAATAACCTTTCTATCTGTTTTGCCCGCAAGGGAGTTTTTCATTGCATGTAAGATAGATAACTTCTTCAAATAACTTTTTGGTGTGTGAGCTTTTCATTAACATGCATCAAATGGAGGCATATAATTTTCAGATGGATTCATTTCTCCTTTCGAGTGCTTTCGTTAATTTGAATATCAAAGCATTTGCTTGTTTATACACACTGAAGAGTGAGCTCCCTAAAAAGAGACAAAAGCAACTCTCAGAAAAGGTTTTGGCATGTTTTTATGAGTAAAAAATAGTTTGTGTGAATCATTCAGGGTTTGTGTGTATTACACACAATAAACCAAATGAGTATAACAAGTTAAATTTATGAATTAAAGATTTGGTAACTCATCAGCCACCTGTCAGCAAAAGACTTTTGAACTCTGTGTATATAAAATGCTCTCGATGGTCACACGGAATACGCAATATGGCTATAAGGTAATGGGATTTTAAAATATATAAGAATTTAGACAATCCTTATCATAGCGATTATAGTGATTCTCTGTCCTGTGTCTCATCGCTCTTGTTTACCAAACCACACTCTGAACTGCCTTCATCCCCAAATCAGTCCTGATCTCTCAATGTCACCACTGAAGAAATCTAAGGGACTGTGGAGGAAGCCCCTGGAAGGCTGGGAATGATTCAGTAACTCCCCACGGCAGACAATGCCCTGACTGGGCCTATGAACCTTCCAGTGGACAGATTCTGGGTCTGCTCTTAAAAAAAAAACAGCGTTACTCTGTAGCCTCCCATGGAAAGCTCCGTAATCTCGTTTTGCTCCTCTCTTATCTTGATTTTTCAGTGAATGCAGAAGCAAATTTCTAGCCTGTGTGAGGTGTCCTTTTGAACTCTTCATCCTATTAACTTTTATTTATCATATCCTTTTTTAAAAAATAACATGTTAATTAAGATATAACTTGCAAGATACTTTGTAATTTTTTTTTTGATGGAGGCTGTCAGTAATGGAAGATTTTGGCTGCAAGATATACTTCTGACTCCTGATTAAAAACCAGCTCAGCCAGACACCTTGATTATGGAGCACAAGTCACATATTAAACAGTTGACGCGTATTGTTTGGGATTAGTTCCTCCTTTGGATTTGCAGTACTTCACACAGACTGATATGAAGGTTCTTTTTTGCATTCTCTAAAATTTACTTAAAAAAAGAGAAAGTAGGAGTGTGTGTAGGTGTGTGTTTACAGGAAACATAATAACTTACGTGAAGGTTAAGGAGTGGTTTGTTTATTGGGTTTTAGAAAGAGGCATTATCCTAAATAAGAATAATAAAGTAGGTGAATTTAAACTTCTCAGAACCCCTCTCCTACCTTCTGGAGCCCCTGACATTCCCAGTACCTAATTCCCGCAGTGCATTTCTCTCCTCTAATCTTCACAACCACAGTGGAAGCTACTGACCCAGAAGCATTTGTAAACAGGTGACTTTCAAAGCATTAGATTTCTATTTGGGGGTGTTTCAGACCCTGGTGATATGTAGTAATTGGGGACACAATGGCTTCCCAGGAAACTGTTGTAGAGGGGAATCTGGCCCTTTCACGGGACTGTGAGGAACGCATTCCAAGAACGCACGCACAGGACACTGTGTTGCAGCATGGTTTATTCACGTGGGGAAAGAAGCTGCCCCCAGGGTTTGCAATGTCCCATCTCCCTCTATCCCACCATGGACAAAGTCCAACTGTGTCCTCAGCAAGGCCAAAACAACAGCCATTGTTCAGAGTTTTTGCTCTATTAAAGCTCAGTCCTTTGGAGACTGCAGTTGGCTACTAAGTGGTCTCAGTCCCCACCCAGGGGACTTAGCTTGTTCCCCTTAGCTGCTCCAGTGGTGGAGTCCACATGGCTGCTAGCCATGTGGCTCCTAAGGCCTCATGACTGTAGAGAGAGAGCACAGGAATGCATGGGGTGAATGTGGGTTCCCAAGTGAAGGAGTGACTTCTTTGTTCCCTTAGGATTATATTAGCTTGGGCCTGGGATGGACAAGGTACGTGTCCAAGTCTCTTTCAAAATGACCACTCAATTTCCCAGGCTTTCAATGGACTTTGGATGGGTCTACACACCCTAATTAGACTGGCAGGCCTCTATGGTCCAGCATCTTCCCCTGTGTCCCCAAGACCCCAGTACTGGAGCAGGGAAGGGAGGAGTGTAAACCCTCTCAGTGGAGCAATGCTGTAGCCCCTTGGAGTATGAAAGGCTGTAGCTTCCTGGCTGAGCGAGCAGGCTGATGCTCCTCAGTTTATTAATGTTCCATGTCTAGTTCCTCTTGCTCCCCTTTTCTAGCTCTATACCAACGGTAACAAAACCATAAATCCAAACATGTTGATGACCGCAAACTCCCCAGGGCTAGCTAGAAAATGGAAGCTAAATTTACACAAAACTGAATCATTAAATGTGGCACTTTTACTTGGAAATAAGAACTTCCCCCCACTGATCCTCTTTTATCCCACTCCCCAAATTCTCTGGAACCTCTTTTCAGTTATCAACAAAGATTTCCTTCCCAGCTTTTCCTTAAAATACTTACACTTTCTTGTTTGACAAATGTTGGCACAGTCTCTTGGCCCTACACTAAAACTGCACCCCTGGCCTCTCTCAGTGGGGCTCCCAGACCCTCTGTCCTCCTGTGCCCTGAATTCCCCCTGGATTCCCACTCCTTCAGACCTTCCTTTAATCGTTACCTTTCACCAGCCTCTCTTTGTTTGAAATCGACTCTCTCTTCTGGATGACATCCCTCCTGTAATACTATTATTAAGGTAATAGCTGATCATTGGACTTATAGTTCCTCCCTCATTCTCAGGCTGTGTGACCTTCTGCAATGTTGAGCTGTTCGTCTCTCCTTCTTCAAATTCTCACACCTCCCAACCTGCCTTTCTCAGCTTTCTCAAAGCCTCTTCTTTCTCCAGTCTTTAACAATTATTGTTACCCCATGCTTTACACTTTCTTCCTCTCCATGTTTTCCATGAATGATCTAATCAACACTTACGTTCCCCAAACTCTCTTGAATATATGTCTCTTTATTACTGTTTCCATTGCCCTAACTCTAGCCCCTGCCCCTAATGGAATAAAGTTCGAAAAGCACGTCCCCTTGTCTTAGTCTCTCCGCAGTTTCCATTATGTCTTCAGAGTCATCTCTCTGAAACAGATCCAATCTATGCATCACATTCTTCAGCAATTGTTAATGAATCCTGTTACCTCCAAAAAAAAGGTACAAGCTGCTACAGGCTTGTGAGGGAGAATGGAGGTGAGGCAGAGAGGGAGGGGGGAGGTCAATGCAAAAAGCCAAGAAGAGAGAGGTGAAGGGCATATCTGTGTACTAGGTGGCATGGATTATCTTCAGAACAGTTTGTGCTTAGATATTGTACCTTACAATGGGCCATGGAAGTGAGGGAGGAGATGAAATGTATTTTCTTGGATCCCTATCATCTGGTTCTCGACTGTGGAAAGTCTGGTAGTGCTTAACACCCACATGCTGTGACATTCAGCTCTTTCAATAGCCACTCAGATGTAGGATCCTGTGCCTGTGGTGTGGCCTTTCACCATCCAGTAAACAGCAGGAGGAGTCACAGAGCTGGTAGGCAGGCCTGCACTGGCAGCCAGAGTGGAGTCCTGTGTTCTTGAGCAAGTAACTGCTTGGCTCTGGGAGGCAGAATCACAGGCACCTGTGAGGTCCCTTGGTTGTTACCTGCGAAGCAAGTGAGGCCAAGAGATATAAGGAGGCAGATAAGATATGTCCAGTATAATGCTCAACCTCACTCCTTATCAGGGAGAAATTAATAAGATTCCATTTTTCACCTATCATATTGGTAGGAGCCAAACTGATAATATCTGGGGTTGGCAAGACTGTGGAAAACTGGTACTCTCACAGAGAGCAGCTGGGCACCTGCCTTGAATAGTAAGAGACGTACTCATACAGTGGAATGCAAAGAGCTTTAAAGGGCTCTAGTGTGCTCTTTCCCCTTCTTTTTATCTCTTCTTCTCTGTCTCTATACAAGTGTATACATAAAAAAGCAAGTTGCAGAAGAAAACATACAATATAATATCATTTGAATACAAATAAAATGTAAGGAAATGGCTATGGGTTCTAATTCTGGTCCCTGTCACTAAGTGTAGCTCTGTGGAGAAGGAGATTATAGCCAGAAGCTGGAAGCTACTTAGATGACTAGAAAGCAAAGAGTGGCCCTGACTTCGAGGGAGGGACCTCCTCCACTCAATGTCTCTCCAACCATAAGGCATTAGCATATCGGTGACAGCGCATAAAGGAGACTGCGGTGACAGTGGACATAGAAAGCTGGTGGGAGGATGAAAGATATGAGGTGCCCCCTAAAGACTCCTTGAAATATGAAGGGAAGGCTTTCCTCAAGTTTGATGTTTTGGAGGGAACAAACAAAGCATGAGGATTCGTGTTA